AGCTCAGAGAAGGATCAGCGCCATGGAGGAGTGAGCCACCCACGCGCTTCCAACGGCACCGGCGCCGCCGTGGGTGATGGTGGTGTACCGGTTTTCTCGGAGTTCTCACTTTCCGAGCTCAAAGCAGCTACGAATAACTTCAGCTCAGAGTTTATAGTTTCTGAAAGTGGTGAAAAGGCACCTAATATGGTTTACAAGGGCCGTTTGCAGAATCGGCGTTGGATCGCTGTTAAGAAATTTACTAAAACGGCTTGGCCTGATCCTAAACAGTTTGCGGTATTGGGCTTCACTTCAATTTTATGTGTTTTTTTTGGAGTCGTCATTTACTTATTCATTTTCTAAAGTTAGGGTTTAATGTCTATTTGAAATGGACCCAAATAGAGCAGAATGGATATGGCCGACTTCTACTCGTTTAGGATTGAGGCATAATTGTTGTTGGTTTAATGTGAATTTAATTTGATTTTATTTTGGTTTGTTGTAACTATAGGATGAAGCATCAGGTGTTGGGAAATTGAGGCATAAAAGGCTGGCTAATTTGATTGGCTACTGTTCTGATGGGGATGAGAGGCTGCTTGTAGCTGACTACATGCCAAATGATACACTTGCTAAACATCTGTTTCACTGTATGCTTTTATCTTTTACTGCTACTTCTGTTTTTTAGCTTCAATCTTGCAGCTTTTCTGTAGGAATGAAGAGAAAAAATCAAGATAAATTGATTGCTCATAGTTAGAGAAAAGCTTAAGTTAACATTAACTGCATTGCTGTCATAAGCGCTGGGAGATATTAACCTTGTTTTTGATTCGACTGATTTGTATCTTAGTAGATAATAGTTATCATCTCCGTTTGCGCATTAGAGAGGCAGATGGTTGTTTGGGGCACTAAAAACTTAATTGTTTTTATGAAAGACGTTACTTGGAAAATTGATACGTTTGCTGGGGTTTATCTACGAGCACGACATTTCCATTTTTAAGCATGGAAATGCGAGAAGGGTGTTGAAGAGCTTTATATCTGTATGGTCTCGTGTGTGGTTATTTTTTGATACACAAGTTTCGTGATATACCTTCTGGTTAAGTACTTGTTTTAGCCTGCAGTTTCGTCTCTATTTAATCTGATGCAATTTATATATTCCTTCATCTCATGGTTTCTGCGAACTGCATTTGCTTGTTTCCTTCTCTGCAGGGGAGAATCAAACCCTTGAATGGGCAATGCGTTTAAGAGTGGCTCTATATATTGCTGAAGCATTGGATTACTGTAGCAGTGAAGGTCGACCACTATACCATGACTTGAACGCATATAGAGTTCTCTTCGACGAGGTATTTTGATGGACTTCTTCTTTTTGAGCTTGAACTGTCCTCTTTACATTCTAGGCCCCGACCCCCCCCCCCCCCCCCCTCTTCCAGTGAATAAAAGAGGTAATCTGGACTTCTGAGTTTACTTGTACCAATGTGTTAATTTGGTAAATGATTTGGCAGAATGGCGATCCCCGTCTTTCTTGTTTTGGGCTGATGAAAAATAGCAGGGATGGTAAAAGTTATAGCACGAACCTTGCTTATACACCTCCTGAGTATTTAAGAAATGGTAAAGTTTCTAACTTCTTTCTCGGTTGAGTTTTAACTTTTTCTTACTTGAGCTTATACACCTCCTGAGTATTGGATACTGATGTTATGTGGGATCGGAACTTTTGGGGCTTGGCTAAATCTCCTCACAAAATACAATCATTTTGTGATGTTGGCTGGAAGTTGGCACTTATGTGAAAAGAGATGAGGATTCCATGTGTGTTATATATGCGGATTCCGTTTGTGTTTTCATTTTCTCTTTGACAGATGATCACTTACGATTTTACTTGATGGTCAAGTACTATCACTAGTCTGATACTTGAAATTGGTAGCTCGGTGGTGGCGGTGGGGATGGGACTATAACCCCGTAGGGCAGTTCACTAAGAAGAGATTTTCATGTATCTCAGACCCTTAGAGTGATTTTGGAATTCCAATCCTACATAACCATGTATTACTCCTGGGATGCTGGTGTTATACAATTATGTTCCGATAGTTCTATTACATTCCTGCTTTCAGTACGTTTTTTTTTGGAGAAGGGGGAGATGGAACTTAAATATGACAATTGAAAAAGGAAAGATGCCATTATGAGCTGCATTAGTGATTCTATTGATATCTAACGCTTTCTATTTATCATCTTTCTCATTGTTAACTTATATTAGGGGAGGAATAATTTCTTGTCTATTTGCAGGAAGAGTTACTCAAGAAAGTGTTGTTTTCAGCTATGGAACTGTCCTTTTGGATCTGCTAAGTGGAAAACATATTCCTCCTGGTCATGTAAGTTTCTAAGAGTCTGTTTGTCAGTTGTACATCCATTTCTTCTTGCTGCAAGTCTCGGGGAGTGCCACTTCATGATGATGGGAACACTTCATGCTGCATTTATGTGCTGGTGCTCTGGAAATTATTTGATACAAGGGATCATATACGACTTTTGTTGTTGGACTAGCAATAGGAGGGCAGTTGGACATTAGGCTGGGAATGGAGTTTGAAACTGTTTTGACTTAGCTAAACATCCACATACTTTTTATGTACCTTTGCTTAACTTTTTAACTGAAGAGGAAGAAATTCGTTTGACGTTAACATTCATGTTGAGTATATTTCTTTCACTTTCTCTCGGAAGAGCATTCCTTATTTGTGTTTACCTTATTTTTGTTTTATAATTTCTCCCCCTTTTTATGCAACTGTTTTAAATATCAACTTTGAAATTTATGTGCTCAGTTCATTCCTTTATGTTTCAGGCACTTGATATGATACGGGGCAAAAACATTCTTCTATTAATGGATTCACATTTGGAGGGAAATTTCTCGACAGAAGAGGCAACCATTGTATTTGATCTGGCTTCACGCTGCTTGCAGTATGAACCCAGGGAGCGACCAAATACCAAAGACCTCGTTTCAACACTTGGTCCATTGCAAAGTAAACCTGATGTTAGTCATACCGCCATAATGTACTCTATTTTTCTTGATGTCTTGTTTTCTATCCTCCCCCCTTCCAAAAGATATGCGAAAAAAGCTCATATTGTCGTTGAATTTTGTTGGTCTTTCATCAAGCAGAATTACCGAATGTCGTGAATGTAATCTTGCCTCCTCATTTCTCCTCTATCTTAAGATGCACCCACATCCTCGCCTTTCTGTATGAATGTATGCACATCTTCTGTTCTTTTTGTCATGGGCAATTATGAGCAACTGCTTCTGGCAGCAACTTTGACTCTGTTTTCATTAGTCTAGACTCTTATCGATTGCTTTGTCTTATTCAATTAGAGGTTGAAAGGAGTTGCTGGTATTCTGGTTGCAGGTCGCATCTCATGTAATGTTGGGTATTCCTAAGCCTGAGGAAGCTCCACCAACTCCACAGCACCCTCTTTCTGCAATGGGTGATGCTTGTTCGAGAATGGATCTCACAGCTATTCATCAGATTTTGGTAATGACACATTATAAAGACGATGAAGGGACAAATGAGGTAATTCTTTTGACCCAAACTGCCACTGCAGAAGTGTCTGTTTCTTTGACATCCTTATATTAATGCTGGACGCCCAATGATGCAGTTGTCTTTCCAAGAGTGGACTCAACAGATGAGGGATATGTTAGAGGCAAGAAAGCGGGGAGACTTGGCATTTCGGGACAAGGACTTTAAAACGGCCATAGATTGCTATTCTCAGGTATTTGCATTCATTCTAGTAAGGTCGTTATCGGCAATAAAAATACTTTGACGCAGTCGAGACTTTAGACCGGAATATGATTCATACTAACTCCTGAAAACCATTTATACAATTGGATGCCATAACTAGTACTCCCTTGATTGATAGAGACATGAGTCTCCTTTTTGGGTGGGAATGGCAGGTTTTGTGCCACTTTTTGGTTGGGTTCATTGACATTCCCCAAATCTATTATGTATCTTAGTTAGAATTTCAAACTTGGTGCATCTCCTTGAAGTTTCAGTTTCCTTGAGAGCCGTCTAAATTCAACCATTTACCAGAAGACCAATATCTGAATGGGGCCTGTGTTTATGGTGACTTTTCCACATCTAACTCCATACTGTATGTGGCCTCATTCACCAAGTTGGTGACATTTTGGTTATTTGTATGACCAGTGGGTCATCCTTGGCCAATAATCCAAGTAATAGACTCAATGCATTCTTGACATGTAATTCTATACTCTAGCTGGTCTAGCTCACCGGGTTGTGACATGTTGGTTATTTGAGTGAGTGGTAAAATCTGCCATGTTAAATGGGGCATCCAATGTAGAGGCCCATTCTATGCTAATATTGTAGCACGACGTAAACTGCCTTTTCGAGAATGAGATTACTGCAGATTTGGCAGGGAGAAATTTGCAGCTCCATTTGATGTTTTACAGTTTTACTCAATCACCTTTTCTGCAATAGTAGTATAGGTCTCTTGAATTCTTGTTATACGTCATTGTTATTAGCTAGTAAATGATGATCTAGCGGATTTTAGTTTAACAGAGTGCTTTTATTGGCTTATTTATTTGGATAAGATGAATGAATATACATTAGGGCAATTTGCTTATTTTCATTTCTCATTGCAGTTCGTAGATGTGGGAACAATGGTGTCTCCAACTGTCTATGCACGGAGAAGTCTTTGTTATCTCATGTGTGATCAACCGGATGCTGCCCTTCGAGATGCAATGCAATCACAATGTGTCTACCCAGATTGGTCTACAGCATTTTACATGCAAGCAGTTGCACTTTCCAAGCTAGACATGCACAAAGATGCAGCTGACATGTTGAATGAGGCTGCAATTCTCGAAGAGAAAAAACGAGGAAGAGGATCTTGATCTCGATAATACCCGACTTGTATCATTCTTTTGGTCCTATCATTTATTCTTGTCACCACAAAATTAGCCTAAAGTTCTTGTATCATTTGTTTGAGTGTGATTGCCTTAGAACTATGCATGACAAAGGAAGAGAATCATTTGCTTGGTTGGTAAATGCGCATGTCAAGTTTTTCACTCTAATTTGTCAAGATATGAAAATAATTTCTCAATGTGTACAATTGTATGTATATATTTTGTTAATACAACAGATTGATGAGGATATATTGGTGAAATCATGAAATGTATAGCTCGGCCTTGCCATCGATGAAAAGGCTCATGAACTCTTCACCATCAACAGTCTCTTTCTCTATCAACAGCTGAGCAAGCTTGTGTAGGATGTCAATGTGTGTTGTGATAATCTGTGTTGCCCTTTCATATGCTCTTTCAACCAATTCCCTTACTTCAGCATCAACCACGTCGGCTGTTGCCATGGAGTAGTCTTTCTGGGTTGACATCTGAAATTAAACGACGAAAATGTTAAGGCATGATTAACAATTCTTGCAGCACTGAGACGAAAAAGATAACTTGCACGATGAATGTACCTGTTGACCTAGGAAAGGATTTCCTCCACCTCCTCCAATGGCAACTTGTCCAATCTTTTTGCTGAACCCTAATCTCTCAACCATCTGCCTTGCCACTCGTGAAACTTGCATGAAATCGTTAGATGCCCCAGTTGTTACATTGTCTTGTCCAAAAATAACCTCCTCAGCAACCCTGGAAGAGCAAGGGGAGTCGAGATATGGAATTGGGCATTTAGCATATATGAGGTAAGCAAGTAATGGACGAGTTAAAAAGATCATCTACCCTAAGAACCCAGCACTCCGATCTATTAGAAGTAACTATGCAAGGAGGAAATAGCAAGCAGTCTGATACTTCAGTCATGTTATAAGGGGCAAATAACTAACTTCAAGATAGACTGGAGTAATAAACATCTAAACAGGTGCAAAAGGATGAACATAAACATTGCACAATAGGTAAAACTGACCTTCCACCAAGTGCAACTGCCATTTGATTCTCTAGGTAGCTCCTGCTGTACAAGCCCGACTCAAGTCTTTCTTCGCTTGGGGCAAAGAAGGTAAGACCACCAGCTTGGCCACGAGGAATAATAGATATCTTGGCAACAGGATCATACTCGGGCATAAGTGCACCAACCAAGGCATGGCCGGCCTCTGTAAACCAAATGTAAACACACCATCAGAAAGAGTGACTACTAAGTGTGTTATTTAGTTTTTTTCATACCATGATAAGCTACCAGCTTCTTCTTCTCCTCTGAGACAACAGCATTTTTCTTCTCTGGGCCAGCAATGATCCTCTCCAAAGCATCGGATATCTCATCTTTACTTATTTCCTTTAGTTCACGCCTAGCTGCAAGGATGGCTGCTTCATTCATCAAGTTTTGCAAATCTGCACCAGTGAAACCCGGTGTTCTCCTGGCAATCTTCTCAAAGTCCACATCCTTCGCAAGGGCCTTTCCTCTAGAATGCACCTGTCATGCAAATTGATATCGGTAACTAAGACGAGCAGTTCAAGAAGCGGAAAACATTTCTGAAAACGCAGAAAGCTTGTTTTCCAGATAGGGGGACTGGACTTGTGTCTGACACTACTACACTCAGTTTTTGATATAACACTTGTTAATACCACGTTTTTCAAAATGGAACTCCTCAAGCTTGTTTGGCAAAACATTTATTAAGCGACAATATTTCCTCAATAGATCATGCAAATACCCTTATTAATATCATATTACCTCAAGGTAAGAAAAAGAGTTGGAAAAAGTTTTTCAGGAAGCAGATTCTGTTTTCCGGATAAGAGGACTGATAACGCTAGCAATTTGTATACTCAAGTTTCGATATAGGCCCTGTAAAGACGATATTTTTCAAAGTGGAACTCCTCAAGATTGTTTGGCAAAGACTTTACTAAGCAAAGACGTTTTCTCAATAGATCATACAAATACATTATTAATACTCATATTACCTCAAGGTACATGCTTAGCACATTATTTCCTAACATATGATGTATGTCCATAAAGAATGGAATTACAAATTTGCTAATTTCAATCTCAATATATCACTACTTTTGAATTTCTTCCAAAGGATAATGAATGAGGAAACCAACACTAGACAAGAACAAGCATAAAGTTGAAGCCAAGGGAAGAAGAATATACTAACCTGAAGAATCTTGATTCTACCAGCAACATCAGGCCTGTCGACAGTCACTTGTCGATCGAACCTCCCAGGTCTCAACAATGCTGAATCAAGAACATCAGGCCTATTAGTTGCAGCTAAAACAATGACTCCACTATTTCCAGAAAACCCATCCATTTCAGTCAAAAGCTGATTAATAGTTTGCTCTCTCTCATCATTCCCACCTCCCATTCCTGCACCTCTCTGCCTTCCCACAGCATCAATCTCATCAATAAACACAATGCAAGGCGCTTTAGACTTCGCCTTCTCGAACAAATCCCTCACTCTAGAAGCTCCAACACCAACAAACAACTCAACAAACTCTGATGCTGCACATGAGAAAAATGGTACACCAGCTTCACCAGCTACTGCTCTAGCCAAAAGTGTCTTTCCTGTACCAGGTGGTCCCACCAAAAGACACCCTTTTGGTATCTTAGCACCTAAAGCAGTATACTTATCAGGATTCTTTAAAAAATCAACCACTTCTTGTAACTCCAATTTAGCTTGATCAGCACCAGCAACATCAGCAAAAGACACTCCAGTTTCAGGAACTTCTTGAAACTTGGACTTTGACCTACCAAAATCCATGGGCCCACCAAGCCCACCGGGCCCACCAGGCCCACCTTGAGATCTCTGGAAAAGATAGAACAATCCAGCAAAAGCAATAAAAGGGAATAAACTTCCAATTAAATTAAACAACCCATTACCAGCAGAATCACCTTCAGAAACTGATATATCAACACCATTCATAGCCAAAATGTCAATTAAATCCGGGTCATTAGGCACAATTACACTAGCTCTACGGCCATCAACAGCAGTAAGCTGAAGGGTAGTTCCGTCTTTACTGAATCTGACTCTTTCAACTTTACCCTTCTTTACAGCATTCAAGAACTCACTGTATCTCCATTGAGAAACTTCTGGAAGTTCAGGATTGGTCTGTGCTTGAGGCTTTGGAGCATTCAAGATTATATTTTGAGAGAATGGATTTGAAGTGGTGGGATTGGCTGCTTCAGCTTGAATCACTTGAGGGGTTGGTACTGTAGGGGTAGTATTATCAAGAGCAAAGGCATGTGGAGTGATTGAAGAAAAGAGTAAAGCAGCTAAAGCAGCTTTTGAAGGAATTTTGTTTAAATTATCTGAATTGGGTTTTTTGTTGAGAATTGATTGAGGGATTAAAGACTTTCTTTTGGAGTGAAAATGGAAATACTTTGTGGTTTTAGGGGTGGGAGGAGAGACAAAGATTTGAGAACCAAAGAAGTTGGAAGAGAGGAGAGAATTGGCCATAACTAATTTTGACATTTGGTGTTAGTTGTATTGCTGATCAATTCTTGTTGTTAAATTTTGGGGAATATGGAGATTTTCTTTCTTTCTAAAACAGTGGGGTAAAAGCAATTAAATATGCAATTCTTTAAGATGTTTGTTGAATAGAAGCCATAGATTTGGATGTTGCGTGGATAGTTGTACGTGTTATAAATGTTATCCAGTCAGTCATTGATATTTATGCTTTCTACGTGGGAAAATAAAGAGCCCGCAAATACTCACAGAACAGTTGTTTGGACTCAAGCTTACCTTTACTACTCAACAGCAAGAAATTGGGCTAAAAATACAGCAGAGGGGGTACAAGGAAGCAGTAGTTTGGGCATTTATTGCAAGGCCCATTGGATCATTCATAAGAATGTTGTCCAATCCCAAGCCCAAGGGGAAGGGCTCTGTGTTATGTCCTAGTTAATAACCGAGGAATTTTCATAAACCACTATAGTCTAGAGCTTAATAACTATAATTTGCATAATTACCATTCGTAATTACTGTTTAATTATTACTAACTTGTATCATTTGTATTCAAACGCGCACCGAATACAGCCTGTATCAACTATATTCGTTCGTGCAACGAACACAACCTGTATCAATCGTATTCGTTTGCGCAACTGTATTCATTCGTGCAACGAATACAATATCAACACAAAACTGCTACAAGGAAGCAGTAGTTTGGGCATGTATTGCAAGGCCCATAACATGCTCATCTCTAAGTTATTTGTACAAGGCCCATAATAGCTGAACTCTAAACAATTAAGAATTTAACGTAATATGTACTAATTTGCAACTCAGAATTTTTTGTATTTAATTTACAAGAAGAGTACTGAAATAATTTGTTTGACGTCAATTTTATCCAACACAAATGATCGTTATTTTCTTGTATAATGACATATGAACATAGAGTTTATAAAGAGATGCTAGGTGAGATACGGTAACATAGCTTATTTATATCTTCTATAATAAAATATTTATAACTATAAATAATACTATAGAACTAATTATACTAAATTCTTTAGAAAATATTGAATTCAACTGTATTGTGTCAATCTAATAGTATTCATTTTCATCATTTAAACACTTGATGCGTTTAGTTTAACCTCCATTGCTAATTTTCAACAATTTGCATATATTTTCTGCACGTACACTATATTAAAAATACGAAGGCCCTTAGCGAACTGTCGTTCGCCCTTTTTACCCTTTTAAAATACCTTTCATAATGGATAAAATTATAATTCAAGTACTTTCCTAATATTTAGGACGTTGAAATAAATTAAAACCTTGCATATTAAATCTTTCCTTATTAAATTAGGTAAGAAAAAAATACATAAATATTTTAGCTTACTAGTTTTAGTGTACGTGCGTTGCACGTGTACATCGCGTCAATTGGTATAAAATATGCAAAAGAATAAATTATTGAAAATAGCAATTGATGTTAAACTAAATGCGAAATTTGTTCAAATGATCAAAATAAATGTTATTACATTAATACAATAGTTGAGTTCAATATCTTCAAAATATATAAAGATGATGAATTTAGTTGAATCAATTTTGGACAAACATATTTTTTTTAACGCAACTAATTGCACAGTCTTTTAGTTGGTATAAATGAGTATAATTAAATCAGTTTTCTATGTTTTTGGACAATACAAAATAAATTCTAATTTTAATTTATAAAGATTCTAAAATAAATATTTTATGAAGAAAAATTAGGTTAAGCTACTTTATAATAAAAGATATTAAAAATTTAAAAATGTGTTCTGCTCACTTCTTTTTTCTTTTCTTTTCTTTTCTTGGGTTTAGTCTAACATTAAATTATTTTATTTAAATATTTATGTCTGTTTTTTATATGTGAAATATGTTCTTTGTAACTTAAGTACATAGAATTCTTATTTGTTCATTTAAAGGTCATCAAAATTATAAATATAATAAGTGAACCTCTTCTTATGTAAAAATATTGGCTAGATTCGTATTGGTCTAAGTCTAAATTCCTTTTATACATAGTTATCCGAGACCAAATAAAAGTTAACACTACCTTAAACTCATTCAGAATAAACTCTGCTATAGACGATTTTAAATTTTCAAAATCAACTTTATTGAGGACAATTTTTCAAATTTATATTTCAAAGTTCCAAGTATATTAGTTTATTTAAAGTTTAAATATCAGTTATAGTTAAAAATAAAAAGGGAAAAAATTAACATGCATTGGTGATGTCTTTTAGGTAATCAATTATTGAAAGTATTTGTAAAAGAATAAGATGCTAACAATTACATATATCAGAGGCCAAGAATACGCATTAACTCCAAAAGCGTGTTTAAAGTTCAAAAGGATATAATGTTTGTTTACGAAAGAATTGAAGTAAAGTAAATTTTAATTGAATTTGAAGTCCTAAATATTAGGACCTTATATGTAGTTTAAATAAGAAAAAAATTAAAAAAAATAAAATTTAGTTGATTTTGAACTCCTAAATATTAGGAAAATAATTAAATAACTGTTTTATCTAGTATGTAATCTATTTTTAAAGGGTAAAAAATGCAAATAATATTTCGTCAAGGGACTTCGTGCTTTTAAAAAAGTATAGATATAGATAGATGTAGAATATTGAAATAGATATAGATTTGTATTAAAACTACTATAATTTAATTGTTATTATTGTACTATACTTGATTTTGCTCTACTCTTTGATTTTTTGTAGAAGGTCTTTTTATGGAATAAATTCACGTACCTCAAAATTTATGTCAACTTGAAAAATAGTTTTACTTATATGATGAATTTGGATAAGAACGAATCTGATTATTGTGCTAATTGGTTAATTCAAATAAGTAACTATGTGTTATCAATATTAACAAAAATCTATTTTTTGAAGATTTAAATTCTTAATATTGAGTAGCGGCGTGGGTGGTCAGGAAGATCATTGAGGCAAGAGAAGATGTGAAGCAGATGAGGCCGGGCCAGAACAACCTTATATCTACACTGGAGAGCTTAGTGAAGCAAGGCAAGTTCCAAATACATAAAGCTTATGTTCAGATGCAGCCACAATTTCCAAAAGTTACTTGGAAAAGCCTTCATCTTCATACACATATTCATCCTAGATTCAAATTTCATCTATGGCTGGCTATTCATCAGAGGATAGCAACTGTGGATAGACTCATGAAATTTGGAATTCAAGTTCCATTAGAATGTGTGTTCTGTGCAAATAACATGAAAATTTTTGAGCATTTATACCTTGGCTGTCCAAAAACTAACAAACTATGGGACAGAGTATTGAAATGGCTTGGCATTGCAAGGCAGATAGGAAGCTGGCAAAATGAGCTGAACTGGATGAGTAGCTTGGCAAGTAGGAAAAATTGTAAAGCAGAAATGGCTACATCAATTTTTGCGATGGTTGTCCACTGCATTTGGCGCGAAAGGAACTCGATTAGATTCAACAAAGGCAGATATAACATGGATGATCTATGCAAGGAAATTGCTCTACATATACACATACAAGGGAGGAAAAAGATCAAATGGCAAAAAGAATTGGAGAGTTTAATCAATTTTCCTTAGTATAGTTATAGTTTTGAAGTAGAGTAGTCACAGTGTTATGCTTGTGAATAGTGAATAGGAGATTAATGGTCAGCATTAATCTGGATATGTAATGACAGTTTTTTTTGATGAAATAAAATGTTAGTTTTATTAAAAAAAAAAAAATTCTTAATATTGGCTTCCTCTTTTTTTCTTTGCTTATGTAATATTAGCTCATACCAGATTTCAAATATCTAATGATTATTATAATTTTATCCAAGAAGAGTTCTGTTTCCAAATTGTAAAGAATTCGAATTTGAATTTTTATGTTTTTCGAATGGTTAATGTCATTGGCTTTTGCAAATCATTTTCTTTCTCGCTTTCCGTAGCTACTTCAATTGCTGAGTTTAATTTTTAAATTTATATCACTATTTATGTCTAAGCAAAATATTATGCATTTAAATGGGAATCTTTCCTTTTTTTAATTTTGTTTATATACAATTGTGCACCTAAAATTTAGCACAATTACTCGATCTATTTTGAACAACGTGCAATTAGAGAGAACTCATATGACATCATTGGAAGATTTGATGTTATTTGGTCTTAATTTATGTTGAAGATTTATATAAGGTAGAATGTTTGTGATTTTAATATTTTAAATATTAAGATTTTTCACTTACTTCAAATAAAGAAAGATTTAATAAGCTAATTTTTTATTGATTTTAAACTCCTAAATATTAGGAAAAATAACTAAAAGACAGTTTTGTCTAATTTAAATCTATTTTTAAAGGGGTAAAAAAGGCGAACGACATTTCGCTAATGACCTTCGTGCTTTTAATATAGTATATAGATATAGATATAGATAGATAGATAGATTTGTTGTACATAATCTTTACTTGGTAATAAAATATCGGTAATACAAAAAATAAAATAAATATACATAATCGTCTGAGAATAATTACAATATTTTCAAATAATTTTCAATCTTATCAGGGATATATAATAAATACTATTCAATCCATTCCTATTCAAATTAAATTCACCTATCAAAAAGTTTATAGTGTCGACAGGGACAAGGAAAAATTTAACACCTACAATTTTAGTATCTCAAAATTCTAAATATTAAAAAAATTATCAAATAACTATTTTTTCTAGTAAGAATTAGGCAAAATATTATTAATTACAGAAAAATCTCCTAAGCTTAAAAATTTAAAAGGGAAATTTTAATAATGCATTATAAATGCAGTTGAACGACAAACTTTTCTAGTTTAGGCAAAATCGTATTAAATACAAAAAGAAGTCTCTTAAACCTAATTAGAAGGAGAATGGAGAAATTTAGTACTCCAAAGTATAAATGGAAATAGAAAGACTAACTTTACTAGCGTGTAGTGAACGTTTAGGCAAAATTCTATTAACAATAAATGACTATTACTAAATTGTAGGAAATTAATTAAAAAATTATACCTAAATATTAATAAAATACTCAAATTACTATTTTGTCCAACGTGAACTACATGTTTTAAAGGGTAAAAAAGGCGAACGACATTTTGCTAAAACCTTCGTGCTTTTAATATAGTATAGATATATATTATACTTATTGAAAATAGATGAGAACATTTTAAACGGTGCTTTGAATTGATTTCTAATTTAA